ACATAGACATGCCAAATGCAATTTGATTTCTTCACATACAGCCACAATCCCATATGTAATGCCATACATTCTAATGCTTAGGACTATGTTTTCACATATTCATATTGTGTAAGATACATATAATGCATGCATGATTGACTTATTCCTTGGGGGAACCTGAGGTCTTCTTAACTCAATTGTATCATACCAAGTTCCATGCGCATCTTTTCAAATTTGTCCCTGCTCAAAGGCTTAGTAAGAATGTCAGCAATTTGATTTTCAGTTTCACAAAAATCTAACTTAATTAAGCCTTTTTCCACATTATCCTTAAGGAAATGATGCCGTATGTGAATATGTTTCACACGAGAATGATGAAATGGATCTTTTGAAATGCATATGGCACTAGTATTATCACAATAAATAGGAATGCAATTATACTTCATACCATAATCTCTTAGTTGTTGTTTTATCCAAAGTACTTGAGAACAGCAGGTAGCAGCTGCCACATATTCAGCTTCAGCAGTTGACAAGGCCACTGTATTATGTTTCTTGGATCCCCAAGAAACTAGGCATGGCCCCAGAAATTGAATCATTCCTGAAGTACTCTTCCTATTCACCAAATCTCTTACATAGTCAGCATCTTCAAAACCTTTTAAATCAAAAGTATCACTTCTAGGATAGAAGAGACAAAGATGGTCAGTTCCTTTGAGATATCGTAGGATCCTTTTTTACTTCTGTAAGGTGTGACTCCTTAGGATTAGATTGAAACCTTGCACATAAGCCAACACTAAATGCAATATCAGGTTTGCTAGCAGTTAAGTATATAAGGGATCCAATCATACCTCTGTATTTGGTTTGATCTACACTAGTTCCTTGTAGATCTTCATCTAACCTTGTGCCTGTTCCCATTGGAGTATGGTTGGTCTTTGCTTGGTCAAGGTTATATTTCTTCAGCAGTTCCTTGACATAATTTTGTTGGTGAATTGCAATACCTCTTTCAGTTTGTTTGATTTGTAGTCCAAGAAAGAAGTTGAGTTCCCCCATCATGCTCATCTCAAATTCACCACTCATTAGCTCAGCAAAGTACTTGCATGCACAAGTTTTCGTTAGTTGCTCCAAAAATAATATCATCAACATATATTTGAACAACTAGTAAGTCAGTTCCTTCAGATTTTAAAAACAAAGTTATATCTACTTTACCTCTTTTAAAATCATTTTGAAGAAGGAACTTAGAGAGCCTCTCATACCAAGCTCTAGGTTCTTGTTTTAGCCCATAAAGAGCTTTATCAAGCTTAAAGACATGATTAGGAAATTGGGGATTTTCAAAACCAGGAGGTTGTTCCACGAACACCTCTTCTTCAAGAAAACCATTTAAGAAAGCACACTTAACATCCATTTGCTATAGTTTGAAACCCATAAAAGAGGCAAAAGCAATTAAGATTATAATAGCTTCTAATCTAGCAACAGGAGCAAAAGTTTCTTCAAAGTCAATACCTTCTTGTTGATTATAGCCCTTCACAACAAGTCTTGCTTTGTTTCTCACAATTGTTCCATATTCATCTAGCTTGTTCCTGAATACCCACTTGAGCCCTATAACCTTTTTGTATTTAGGTTTCTCTTCAAGATGCCAGACCTTGTTCCTTTCGAACTTATTGAGTTCATCTTGCATGGCAATTATCAAGTCAGCATCCTTTAGTGCTTCATCATGATTCCTTGGCTCAATAATGGATAGGAAGGCTTGAAAGGCACAGAAGTTCCTCAAGTGTGATTTGGTCTGAGTTCCTCTACCAATATCACTTATAATAAGGTCTGTTGGATGAGAGCCTCGATATCTGAATGGCTTTGGTTGAAATTCTCTGGCAGGAACTTCTATTTGAGGCACTTCTTCTTCAGTTTCTTCTCCATTTTCCTTGTTGCCAGGTTCTCCATGATCTTGTTCCTCCGGGTTTTCTTGATTTGGAACTTTAGCATTTTCTTTATGTTCTTGCTTAGGTTCCTCTCTTACTTCCTTGGTTTTCTTGGAGGTTTCTTCATCTTCTTCCCTGTCTCTAATCATACCAATTTCATAATCATTATTGTCTTGTTCCTGCACATTCATAAACATATTAGATTCATCAAATATCACATGAATGCTTTCTTCTACACACAATGTATTTTTATTGTAAACTCTGTAAGCTTTGCTATTTGATGCATAGCCAAGGAACACAACTTCATCACTTCTTTCATCAAATTTTCCTATGATCCTTTTCCCATTATTATGAACGAAGCACCTGCACCCAAAAGCTTGAAAGTGAGAAATATTGGTTTTCCTGCCCTTAAACAGTTCATAAGGAGTCTTATTGATGATTGGTCTCATCATAACCTTGTTAATAATATAACATGCAGTATTAATAGCTTCAGCACAGAAGTTTCTTGGAAGACCACTTGCTATGAGCATAGTTCTTGCCATGTCTTCTAGAGTCCTGTTCTTCCTTTCAACAACTCCGTTCTGTTGAGGAGTTCTTGGGGCAGAAAAGTTATGATCCATGCCATTTTCTTTGCAAAAGTCATCGAATCTTGAATTCTCAAACTCAGTTCCATGATCTGATCAAATGTGGATAATTTGATTTCCACTTGACTTCTGTACTCTTTTGGCAAAGGACACAAATTCATCAAAAGTTTCATCCTTGCTAGACAGAAAAATCACCCAAGTAAATCTAGAAAAATCATCAATAATAACTAAAACATATTTCTTTCCACTTCTACTTTGAACACGCATGGGACCACACAAATCCATATGAATTAGCTCCAATGGATTTTTGGTGTTGACCATGTTTTTGCTTTTAAAAGAAGACCTGACTTGCTTTCCTCTCACACATGCATCACAGATATGTTGTATAAGGAACTTGACTGAGGGAAGCCCTATAACCAAGTTCCTTGCTCTAAGTTTATCCATGAGTGAGAAGCTAGCATGTCCAAAACGTTTATGCCATAATAAGGGATCATCATTAATGGCACTCAAGTAGGTAAGGTTGTTCCTTGGAACAAAATTTAGATCCAAAATGTATGTGTTCCCTTTTCTAGTTCCTTCAAGAACAACCCTTCCCGTTTTATCATTAATGATGTTGCATGAATCAGAGGTAAAACTTACAGAGTTTCCTTTATCACAAAATTGTGATATGCTCAGCAAATTGTGCATCAAACCCTCGACCAAAAGTACATTTTCTATTGAATGAGAACTGGACCTTCCTACTTTTCCTTTAGCAATTACTTCACCCTTTTTGTTGTCTCCAAAGGTCACAGTTCCTCCTGGATAGGCCTCTAGTGAGAGAAACTTTGATTTATCTTCTGTCATATGCTTTGAACAACCACTGTCGAGGTACCACGTGTTGTTCCACCTCACTAGGACCTGCAAAAGAACTTATTGGTTAGATTCAGGAACCTAGGTTTCCTTGGGTTCCTTGGACGTTGAAGCAATATCAGATTTCTTTACCCAAACTTGCCTAACATTTTTACTAACAGACTGTTCCTTCTTGTTACACGTGGCAACAAGATGACCAGTTTTACCAAAGAAGGTACATACTTTATAGCTAGGCAGGTCTACATATTTTTTCTTGCCCTTATGCTTAGAACGTATGAATCCTAAACCTTCAGTTCTTTTGGTTTGAGCATTCTCTATCCACTTAGGAATTCCAAACTGGCTAATGCTTCTTTCTTTTCGAAGCTCAAGTTCCTTCTCCAATTTTGCCTTTTCAATTCTTAACTCGTCAAGATCATATTTTAATTTTTCAAAATCCTCATTTAATTTAGGCAAAGATTCAGAGGAGGAACTTGGAGACACTTCAGCATTAGCAAGTTTTTATTGAGTCAGTTCTACATTAACCATGATATTCTCAAACTTGAGTTTCTCATTCATTTCTTTTAAGAGAAGATTTTTGTCAAAAAGTTCAAAAAATCTACTTTGAACATCAGTTCTTTGATTCTCAATCCACGTACTGTGTTCCTTGAAGACTTTGAGAGCTCTTTGACATTCACCTAGAGGAATACTAGTGTGAGTCCAGTCATCTTCTAATTCAAACACTAAATCAATGAGAGCATCTTTAGTATAAGTTTTATTTACATTAGGATCAAGGATTACCTCTTTAGCAAGCTCATCGTTGTAAGCCTTTTCATCACGTTTGGCCATCAGACATAGATGAGCTGTTTCTTCTTCAGGTTGTTTCTCTTCATCCTCACTTTCAGAATCTCCCCAGGCAGCAATCATAGCCTTCCTAATGTCTGTTTTATTGAAAGGAGTTTTGTTGTAGTTGCTCTTAACTTGTTCCTTGCCTTCCCTTTACCTTTCTTTGTATCCCAAAGTGGACACTCACAAATAAAGTGTTCTAGAGATCCACATTTGTGACAACCATAGTCAGTTTTTGAAGTAGAGGGTTTCTTGGTGAAGTTCCTTGACTTGTTGTTTCGGTTGAACATTCTTTTGAACCTTCTCACCAGCATAGCAGCCTCTTCTTCATCGACTTCAGAGTCTTCTTGATCTCCAGCTTTGAGAGCCAACCTTTTCCTCGGTTTCCTTCACTGTTGCTTGTTCCTAGGTGCAGCTCATGGGTTATAAGGGAACCAGCAAGTTGCTCAATATTGAACTTTGTGAAGTCCTTTGTTTCTTGTAAGGCTGTTACCTTGGCTCTCCATCTCTCATTTGGGGGAGGCTTCTTAGAACTTTTCTGACCTGCTCATCAATAGGGATTTTCTTTCCAAGAGAAACAAGCTCATTAGTAATGTTAGTAAATCTAGATAACATTTCCTGAATTGATTCTTTTGGTTGCATTTCAAACCGTTCATATTTTAACATAAGCAAGTCAATCTTAGAGCGTTTCACTTTGTTAGTTCCTTCATGAGTGACTTGAAGTAAATCCCAAATTTCTTTAGCATTTTTACAACCCATAACACGGTTGTGTTCATTGGGTCCAAGTCCACAATGAAGTAATTTAACAGCAAGTGCATTAATTTCCATTTTCTCAAAATCTTCCTTATCAAATTAAGACATGGGTTTAGGTACTACCTCATTTTCACCAGTGGTTTTGGTAATTTCAAAATCACCAACTTCGATCACTCTCCAAACCTGGTAGTTGTCGAATTTGATAAAAATCTCCATCCTATTCTTCCAATAGGTGTAGAATTTTCCATTGAACATAGAATTTTCCATTGAACATAGGAGGACGCTGCGTAGAGTAACCTTCTTCTAGTTTCTCATGATTGTTCATCTTGATTCTAGGAACTTAACTCGTCAGGGTTTCCTGATTTCTTCGAGGAACCAGCTTTGATACCAATTGTTGACTCGAATGAACAATACAAGAGTGGGGGTGAATTGTATTGTTGAGGAACTAGGGTAATTTTTGCGGAATTCTTAAAAAAAAACTTTAAAGTGCAAGAGAGATTTTACGTGGAAAACTTCTTGGCCCTAATCAAGAAGAAAAACCACGACCACAAGGGATTTTAATCAAACTCTTAATAATAATAGGGCAAACAACCTATTACAAATTAAGACTTCTAAACTCAAGTTCCTCTACAAACTTAAGTTCCCCCTTAACTGATCCCTCAATCAGTTGAGTTCTCGAATCTCTCTCTTTCTCCTTGCTTCACTCAAAGAAATTTCACACTCTAGAGTTTACCCAAACTCTACCCCAATACAACTCAAGATAAAACTACTAAGATGCTAAGTACAAAGATACTCAAGGACTTAAGTGGATTTTTGACTCTTTTAGAAAAGCTAAGAATCGTAATGCTCAAGTGTGCTTTTCAAAACAGAAAACTAATCCTATTTATACATGAGGAAAGCAGTTGAAAACCTTACGTTTTCCTTAGCTCCCACTATACAACAACTTCCATGAAATAAGGAAGTGCAGTTCGTGGATGCTTGGGCAGAAAGCTGAAGCGCACAGTAAGGAAGTGGTTCCTATATTTTCTCAACCTCCTTTACCAAGCAAAAGCCGTTTTTAAAAAATAGTTTTACCAAGTGAGATTTTCCAAAATGTTAGGATAAAATCAGAACAGAAAATCTTTTAATAAATAAGATATTTTACTTAAAAGATATTTTTCCGAAATAAAATTAAATCTTGTTAAAGAAAGGAAAAATAAAATCTTTATAAGCTGAAATTAAATCCACTTAAATCCTATCAATTAACAATGTACTTAACATATATATAATTAGCCTAAAATAAATAATAAAGATACAATAGACTCCTTGGAACACAGTGAAGCTTCGACTCTGGAGCTTCAGTTCCTCACTCAAGGAACTTGGCTTCTGATTGTCTTCTATGCTCGTCCATAGCTCATCCTTTAGACTTGTTCCATGCTCCATTCTAACTCTAGAACTTCGTTGCATATAAAACCTGTAAATACATCAAAGCTAATAGACAAAAGTTAAAGCCCCTATGGGTTTGCTTAGGTTCCTTGAGTCATCATCAAAACTTAAGATCAAAGAAAGTTGTATAAATAGCTCACCTAGTTTATTGGGTTGTAATTATTGGGATTTTTGTAAGCCTTAACACTCGACATGTTGTTGAGTGTGGCGGTAATACCTCCGATTTAAGTGTATGCTTTCGCAATTTTATTTAAAGGTTGTCTATTTTCCCTTTATTTCTTATTTATTATTAGCTAGTAAATTGGGGGTGTTACAAAATGGTATCCGAGCCAGGTTGCTCGTGGGATTTACGCAGGGATCTTCATATCCCAGCGTGGTTTATTTAGGAATGAACCTGTTAATTAAGAGTAGGATTAAAATTAACATAGGCTAAGCCGTTTCAAGAGTATTTCTCTTTATATGCTTGTGCTTGTTATGTGTTTTTTTTTTTTTTTTTTTTTTTATGTGATTAGATTGAGTTGGGGGACGAACTCATTTTTGAGGGGGATTGTATGTAATACCCCTAATATATTAGTACTTTATCTATATATTTTATACAGAAAAGTTTGATTTTTTAGTTTTTACTTTCTTTCAAATTTACAAGTAAGTTATTTATCTAAAGTTTCGGGACGAAACTTGTTTTAAGGAGGGTAGATTGTAATACCCTAAATTTCAATTCTATTTTAAGTTTCGAGGACGAAACTTGTTTTAAGGAGGGTAGATTGTAATACCCGAATATTTTATGATTTTATATTATATATTTTTTTAACAAAAAAATAGTTATTTTTTATTTATTAAAAAACTTTTCTAATCTCATATTTTTATTTTAGAGTTCGGAAAGGTTTAAAACCCTATTTTAATTTAAATAGGACTCTCTAATTTTAAGCGTATATAAACTATTCTTAACCCGTAAAAGATATTTTTATTATATAAAAAAAAAGAGTAGCTGCTTTTCCTTTTAGTTTGTGCGCAACTTTCATGCATAAATCAATAAACCCAATTTGACTCTTCTTTAATGTTTCATTGTATTCTATAATCTCCACCATCATATTACTTGATTTATATGTTAATTGCATCATGAGAGAAGCTGTACAGAATTGTTTGTGGGATTAAAACCATGAATTGCAAAGTTGTCCACCTAGTTCGTCCCCTTGTATTATATATCATGTGCGATTTGTCGAAAGGTAATCACACTTTATCAATTTGGAGATGTTTGATTGTATTATTTATTATGTGTAATCACACTATATTTTTGAGATGTTTGTATTTTCGTAATGTTATGTGTGATATGATTTATTATTTGTACTCTTTGTATATATGATTAATTATTATGGTATTATATGATTTGATTAGATTTGAGTATCGTATTATTTATTTTTGTTGTATATATTGATTGTTCAATTATTTCTAGGGTTTTAATGTTGTTGTTATAGGGAGTATTGTTTTGAGGCTTTAGGGTTGTTAGTGAAGAGTATTATTTTTGGGTTGAGAAACAATTATTTTTGGGTGCTAGTATTATTTCCCTAAGAGTTGAGATATTTTTGAATTGAATTGTTATGTTATTTGGGAACATGTGCCATTGTTGAGATTGTTTATGAATAATTATTTGATCGATGTGTGAGATCAAAAGGTTGAGAATTATTATTCTGTTCTTGGTTTGAGGCTCGGCGTTATATAACTTAGTCCTTGGCTTGTTGGTAAGAGGGTAATAATCATGAGTTAAGAATGAGGTACAATCTTTATTATCTATTTTTCTATGGTCCCCTACAGTGGGAATTGACCCGTATGTGGTCTGGTTCAAGGTGTTTTCTAGTTTTTGGGAGTATTCAAGTTTTTATACTTGTTGGTTTTATTCGAATTACCCATGTCCAAGGCTAGGTATAGAACAACGAGCATGGCACACTTATTGGTTATGAGTTGAGTAAAGGTTTGTACTATTATTCGAGGTTGAGTTTGACAAAGGTTATTTTCAGAGTACAATGTGTAATGTAGTTTCGAACTACATTGTTTAATTGATCTAATAATGTTAATTATTATATTATGCTCTATATTCTGATATGTGGTGATTACTCAGCTATTTGCTGACGTATGTGTTGTTTTATTGTGCTTTTTGTATTTGCGGCCATGTCTTTTTCTTATGGTGGCGCTGCGACGATCTATTTTGGAATTTGTCCTTAATGGTGAGCAGTCAAGATTTTCTAAGTAGGTTGATCAAGTGGTCGTAGCTAAAGGAGCTCAAGTGTTTTGATTAATGTGATGTCATTTGTTTATAAAGTTGTATAAATAGCTCACCTAGTTTATCGGGTTGTAACTATTGGGATTTTTGTAAGTCTTAACAATCGACAGGTTGTTGAATGTGGCGGTAATACCTCCGATTTAAGTGTATGCTTCCGCAATTTTATTTAAAGGTTGTCTATTTTTCCTTTATTTCTTATTTAATATTAGCTAGTAAATTGGGGGTGTTACATTATTATTATTTGCAAAAAAAATTCGAGGGAGGGAAAAGGTTCCCGACTTACCCCCCTCAAAAAAATAACCAAAACTCGAAAAAAGAAGGAGAAAACAAAACAAAAGAGAATAAAAGAAAATAAGGAAGTAGGAAAAATAATAAAAACAAAAATAAAAAAGAAAAAGAAAGTAGGAAAATAAAAATAAAAAAGGAAATAAAAAAAATAAGAAAGAAGGCAAGAAAAAGGACACTAAGTGTTAGAAGGCAAGCATAAGATTCGTCTTAAGATTTCGTGAAGATTCCGTCATTTTATGAGCCAAAATACGGAAATAAACCCAACTCACATGCCGCGTCAGGGGAGACGCGCGCAACTACGTGAGTTGCAAGCGGTTATCGCGCGGATGTCGCACACAACGCATGAGTTGCGCGCGCCACCTGTTGGTGAACTTTCCTTTAAGCCGAATTTGTCGAAAATTTGACCCTCTTGGGTCTATTTAAACGTGGTTTCATGTAGGCTTTTGATCATCTCGCATTCATTCGATTAGTAATATAAGAAAATAAATAGAATTAATCTCTCTAAATTCTAATTCTCTCTCTGTTTGAACAACGTTTAAAGCAATGGGTCACTTCCCTTTCAACCAAGGACAAACTAGCTTTCAAAATTTACCACTTAGACCCTCTACTGAATTATATGCAACTAGTGGTTAATTTTGATTTTCTTCATGCCGCAGTCAACCATAGGGACTCTAACCACCATCTTTTCTTGTTCAAAGGGGACGAAATTGTCCCCCTTCCCGGTAAGTTTGAGGCCTTGCTAGGTTTCCCTAAAAATACTCTTCCTGTGACTTATTCGCATACCTTGTCGGATCCCAAACCTTTATTCCAAACATTTTTTCGCTTGTCCGACAATGATATGACCAACATTGGAACTGAAGAAGGCGTGAACTTAATTCAATTTATTGAACATTTTGTCGCCCCTCGTGACAACATGACTAAACAACGCTTTAAAATTCGTGCTTTATGTTATTGTCTTGTTGTTAATTGTTTACTTGGGACATGCAAAGAATACGGAGATTATTCCATGGTGTCCATAGTAGAGAAAATAGAGGAATGTCATTCACCCGCTCCTTTGGTTTTGGCGGAAACCGTTATGTGCTTGAATCGCCTTAGAGGAGATCCTAACGAAAATGGTTTCACGGGAAGTCCACTCCTTTTACACGTACGTTTTTTTT